CATCATCATCATCATCATCATCATCATCATCATCATCATCATCATCACACATCCACATCCACATCCACACCGACATTCACTGGCACAATGATTTGGGAGATTCCAATGTCAGGAATGAAGAAGAAGCCGACCAACACATCCAGTTCCCCCAGTTCCCTCGCATGAAAAGGGGTCGCATGTGGTGGTGATGTGGACCTTTCTTGGTGCGATGATCGGAACAGAAAGAACACCTTTCGGCTAGGATGGGACCTCCAGAAATATGGTACAGGATGGGAACAGAACCGGTTTTCAAGACTCTTTTACGGTAGTTCCATCAATTCTCAGGTCGCTATGGGTCACTGGCAACCATCTCCGTTTTTAGGGTCATAGGCATCAGAAACAGACTCACCAGGACGCTACTATAGTAGCAAAGGGCGTCGCTACTAGGAGCAAGGACGCTACGTTCGGGGCTCCTGGCATCGCTACTAACAAGAAGCTACTAGGAACAAGTGCATCGCTACTAGTAACAAGTGCCTTACTAGTAGTAACAAGGACGCTACTAGGGGCTCCTGGCCTTACTACTAGTAACAAGAAGCCACTAGGGTCATCGCTGCTCTGTACCTGAGCGGGGTCCGTGCCGGGTCTGTGCCGACAGGACGGACGAGGACGGTCCCGGGTGGTCCTTCGGTTTCGAACGAAGCGGCGATGAGTCGACCGCCTGCGTCTTTTTTCTCTTTGGGAGACGTCATTGACCACTCATGAAGTGCAGCATTTACCAGGATTTGGAGTGAAAAAGACAAGCATCAAAAAGCCCACCATGCCGCTGCCGTCCGGTTCTACCGACGCCTCTTCTACGATCATCGCGGCGCGTGTTTGCTTCGGCCAGTCCGCCCCAGCACGAGAGCTTCTGTCACAGTATGCGTGAGGGGCGCCCAGAGCAAACGTCGGAAGTGGGGAGGTTCTGATTGAAAAGATCAGCCCAACAGGGAAAGACGATGTCACCGTGGTTCATCCATCCTTCTCTTTGCAAACCGCTATGCTTGCCTTCAAAATCTTCCAAAAGGATGGGTGGAGCAATAGGGGGGTCCAAAAATTTCCACTCGGTCTACTGGGAGGTGGATCTTCAGAACTGATGTCACCCTTCGACCTTGGTCACTGACTCCAGTCCAATCCCCGATGTCTTCAAGTCTTCTTCAGTCCAACTCGACTCGACTCCAATTCTCCACTCCACTCACGACCCCACCGGTCGGGCAACACGGTTTGGGCGAGCACTTGTGCCGACTGCTTCGGGCAGTCCTCCCCGTAAGTGCTCACATTGCGCGGATTACGTAGAGGGCGTCATCATCGAGGTTTCAAGTCGCCGGGGCGGCAGCAAGTGTCTTTGAGATTTCAGGGATGAAAACATGGCCCCGATCTCCACTTGGACCAGCATTCTGGCATGAAGTACTCGTACCAAGTGGGAGATGCACATGCCACATACATACAATACCAAGAGATACCAAGTGGATATGACTGTATCAGATTAGATGGACTTTGGTGTTCCGATAGACTGATTAACCTGCTCTTTCATTTCAGTTGCCCCAAAAAGGCGGAGGTGTTTTCAGGCAGCGCCGAGAACGGGTGGAAAACAAGAGGCAGAACAAAACTGATTTGTCACTCAAATTGCTTCCTTAGACTCGAATGAGATGTTTAGATGTTCAAAATGGAAGGGGTGAAGGTTCCGGGTGAAGCGAGTTGGGGAAGCGACTCCTGATAGGAACCGTTGCGAATCATGCAGCAATATTCCGCACAAAATAGCTGCTTCGCTCGATGTTCGTAGCTGAGGACTTATTGGAAGCTGGATCTCTTTTATCAGGCGGGCAAAGGCAAAATACGACCACCTCTACTAGTCGCAGTAGCAGAGGACTGAGATTAGTGTAGTGTATGTGGAATCGGTTGATTGGTTGATATTGGTTGACATGCCAAGTATTCTGTTCATTTTGAATCATTTTGAGTCTTCTGCCAACTCTCTGGTGGGTGCCTGGTTCCTGAGGAATAAACAGCTGGGTTAAGGATACGGAAGGGACACGCGAAACCAGCAAGACGTCGTTTTCGCTTCACACCAAACCGTCTTGTCATTGATCAAGACCACCCACCTCTCCACCACCTCTCCACCACCTGAAGGCCACCTCCACCTGTCCTGATCCACTGAGCGAGGCCAAGGACGAAGAGAAGGGGATCTTCACTCCCGAGGCCTTGGAAGAGATCAGGCCTCCACGCGGGGCCACGGCGGGGCGTCGCCTGTCACATGTGAATTATCCCAAAGTATCCAAAGAATGCATGAGTTGAGGAGAAGGTACGTTTCTGCTGACTGCTACAGTATAGCATCTCAAACCAAAAAGGTTTGGAAGACAAGTCTTCCCGTACAAAGCGGTTGCCGCTGTGAGGTGCTTTAGCTTTAGTTGGCAAGGTTACTCCCTGAAAGTTGCCTTTGACTGGTCCATGTTACGAAAGCCAGCCTTCGTAGAAGGCGCCTTGTGCTTGGCGAACGAAGTGAGTAGTTAGGGGTTCTGCGGGGGTGGCCCGCAAAAGGTACACGTAAACTCGGCACATGCTGAGGGAGGAGGGTGGACGGATGGAAGCTTTCTTGAGGTTGTGTTGGAGGTGATTTTTGAGGGGTGGTGATGCAAGAAATGCAATTTGCATCATTTGCATCATCTGAATGGTAAGGTGTAGTTGGCACCTTGCCAGGTATAGATCCCCAGGTTTGACGGAAAGGGACCTGGAAGTACTGTACCTGGCAACTGAATTGTAGCTACCCTGGGTATCCATACCTGCGCCAGCTGAGTAAGAAGGGGGGTTCGGGGGGGTGGCCTGAGAAAGCACACTCGAAAGTAGGTGGGTAGGGGTGCACGGAAGCAAGGTTTTGGAGGTGCTTTTTGTGATTTTAAAACATGCCTTGTAGCTGCCCTGGGTCCGCGCGCGCGCGCGCCTAAATCACAGGCAGCTGGGAGCCAGCAAGGCACGCGCGCGGGCGGACCCAGGGTAGGGAAATTGAAGTGGGATACCTGGCAACAGAATTGTAGCTACCCTGGGTCCGTATAGATGCTATGTTGCTTTACCTCTTACACATCTATATATATAAGTTCGATGCAAGAATGAGACTTCAAAGCTGTGGATTGCTGTGCGTGTGTAAAGATTATCGAGCGGCTGAATTGAAAGGGAACTTGAAGTACTATACCTGGTAACTGAATTGTAGTTACCCTGGGTATCTATACCTGCGCCAGCTGACTAAGAAGGGGGGTTCGGGGGGGTGGCCTGAGAAAGCACACTCGAAAGTAAAAACGCTGGCTTTCGTTTTGCAGCTTCTCAGGTTAATGACGGGCAGTAGCAGGTGGAGGAGGACTGAAGGAGTACCACCTTTACCGCAGGGATATCTACCTTTACTCTATAATAAGAGAGTATCTGCTGATATAGTGCCGAGTATGAACATCATTTCCTTTGTGGGATGCTTGACATGGCGACGTTCGGCTCAATCAGATGTGGCAGAAACGTTCCTGTTTTCGCATGCCCCGAAGAAACACCGATGACGCCCACCGACCGCTGGACCTGACCGCCAAGCGCTGCACGACGAAAAACCGCGTCGTCGCATCCCAAAGCCTGCAACTCGTCCAGGGACTTCGAGCGGCGGCTGAGAGCTTTGGAGGGCTATGGCGACTTCTGCCGGAAGCGTTACTCCTTCGTCTCCTGTGATCCCGCCTATACAGTGCCTAGCCAAGTTCACCGGGTTCAGTGAACGAATCGGTGGTTCCAAAACCTTCCGAAAGGGGTGTGTGGTTCAGCCGTTCTTTTGTTTGTCTAAACATCCAACGGTGGAGGGGGCGAGAAGACCTGTTCGGAATGTGTTATTTTCGAGATGTCAGGGCCCATGTGGGCGCTCTCGCTCCCTGCCGAGGTGACCAACATCTTCTTCTCCGTGCCCAACGCTTCTAGCATCTCAGGCGATACCATGCAGGTGCCGTTCCTGGTTGCGAGGTCGATTTGCTGGGTGACTCGTGGATGGCCCCTGACCAAATGACCATGGACCATGTAGGGGACGTCCTTGTGGCGGGCGAGCGCCGATTTTGAGCCGCTTTGATGTGAGTGGAGCAGGGCAGTACCAATCCCACCGGTCGATGAATGAGGCATCCGCGATCCACTGCAAATCCATGGCTATTTCTGGAGGGGTGGTGTGGATGGGATTGGAGGTCCAACTATTTGAGGATGGGGTGTGGGATTTATAAGTCATGGATCATTGATGGATCTCTGTTGCAAGTGAACGACACTCGCTCTTGGATCCAGCTATACCTGGCTTGGAACGAGCCTGGACTTAAAATGTCGCACGGTTCCCACCTTCTCATCAATGGAGGTGATCTACGATGGATCTGGGTCCTTGGCAAACATCGAGGACATGCTGAAAGGCTTCCTAAGAGATCCTCGGCACAAAAATGTGCTTTTGGCACCAAAGGATACAGGTGACACTTCGTTCGGGGATCGTGTTCAGCGTTCTGATCGAAGCGGGCCGCAATAAACGTCGACGCTTGGATGGTTCCAGCCTTTTCAGGTCACGTAAAATACCTCGTGGATCCTCGTGGTAAAATATGGATGACTAGGAACAAGAAGCTACTAGGAGCAAGGGCATCGCTACTAGGGGCTCCTGGCATCGCTACTAGGAGCAAGAAGCTACTAGGAACAAGGACGCTATCAGGTGATATGACCTGCCAGAGCTGCAACTTGGAAGATTACCTACTCCTTGCTGGAGTGGGTCAGTTTCGATGTGGGTTTTGGGAGATTGTGTTCATTGTGAATTCATGGGTGTCTTTCCACTTACAGTACATTTCGTAAGCAACAAGACACTCAGGCTATCTCAGGCTATCCCTCAATCTGATGCTAAGGACGCTGCAAACAAACATATGGTTTATACATTCAAAAACAAACAGGTTCGATCCCATGGCTTCCCATGGATCCAACGCCTCACCTAAAAAGAAGCTAGCAAGAAAGTTACCCCAAAGTCACACCAGTCGCGAATCGAGACGTTTTCAGGAATTTCCAGGAAGATTTGCAGCATAGAAAATATCTTCATACAATTATATGCTACAAGATTTTTAGGATTGAATGTGGCTCTGTCGGACAACAGACCAGGTTGGGCAGAGATGAGGAAATTGAAAAGGGACCATTTGCTATAGACATTGGGATGTCTTGTGTGGCTTTTGGATGATTTTGAGTCCGGCCCCCGCAAGTCGTCCCACCCAAACAGTGGCACCTAGTGGCACGTGGTGGCACGTGGTGGCACGTGGTCGTTTGGACGGGACGTGTGCAGGATGGGATCGACTGGTGGGTGGACAAGGACTTCGGCCCAAAGAATCTGAAGAGCCGCTTCGAAAGCGAGTGGGCGGTCCGTGTTGGGCGGCAAACACGTGCGGATTTCGTTCCAAAGGGGTTTTTGTGGCAAAAACGGAGAGGTGAAGACCGTGAAAAAATGGTTTTGTCAGCGAATCCCTGAAAGAAGGGTTGTTCTGGGGGTCACACCATGGAAACTGGTGGTATCCTAGGGAGGTGTCGACCAGGTATGCGTGGCGTCTGTTTGGATTTGAAAGACTTCCAGGATCTCGTATTGAATCCTAAAGCCCGACAGAAGGGTTCTGATCCAAAACTCGGTCGAAGATCCGCCATTTGGCAAAAAGATCCCAAGTTTGTCGAAGAAGATGGGCCAGCACCGACCTTGGATGGGTTCGGAACGAGCCTGGAAGGGAGAAGTCGTGCTCGGTTGAACCAGAGATCCCAAAAAACAGATCGATTCATTTTCGCTTTGGCTCTCCTATTTCCCAAGTCAGTGACCTTTAAAATCATTTATTAGAATCCTTGAAGCAGTTTTTAGAAGCTCTTTGTACTGAACATAACGCTCTTCAGAAGGTGAAGCTTTGAGGAGGACTTCTGAATCGCATCGACTCGTGGAACAGGACAAGAGGACCAACAGTCAATATAGTCAATCATCAAAGAGGACCTTCTAAGTATATTCTGAGGTTCTATAATTATATAGTTGCTTTTCGTGATGCCCTGCGCCCCACGCTACCCAAGAACCACCTCCTTTTCAATCTTTCCAGTTGCATGCACAGGTCACCCAGTGACTCTTCGCGTAGGGATTCTTGGTGACCTATCAAACAACGTATACAACCGCTAAACATGCATCGTTCGACATCATTTGCGTTCCAGTTCCGGGCGTGGTGGCCACTTCAGGTCTATACACCCGCGCCTCCTTCTTCGGTGGGTTGCCCTTGGAGGGTTATGAGTCCTTGGACACCAGGCGCTGAAAGGAGCGCTGGAGAACTGCTGGGTGTCCTGAAAATGGATTGGATTAGACAGACGGCCAGGACATGTCAACCTGACCTGGTTTTGGGTCCTCTCGTGTTGACCCATACGCCGTAGAGGCGCTCTCTGTCGACTGGACTCCAGTTCGTGAGGCAAACAACCCATAACCCATAGGTGACTCCCATAAAGTCCGCACGTGACCTGGAAATCCTCGGAGAGGGCTCACCTTGTAGACACTTTGAGGGACTTCAATTGAATTCAGATCACCACCTTTGTCTACTTCAGAGCACGATCCAACTCCAAGCTCAAGTGGCACGACACACGTCCAAAATCAAAGCTTTCCCCAGCTTCGTTGGAGGGTCGGTTCGGAAAGGGGCTAAAGCTGCAAAAAGTAAAGCCAAGAACCAAAGGGCTCACCCAACATTTGCAGAAAGGACGCCACGTTTGGGGCTTTAGGTGTTTTGTTTTGTTTTTTTTTGGGTGCTCACCGTGGCAGAGGGTTTGGACCTTCAGTCACTGCCTTCAAAGGCCCGAACTTGATCATGCTCGCTTCGGCTCGCTTCGGCTCGCTTTGTGCCGGGCACACGCGCACTTGTGTGCGTGTCTCTTTGCGCGCACCCATTGGTTCATGCTGTGGAGCGTGCCCGCCAGGTTAGAGGAGCAGAAGGCCAAGTCCAACGACTTCTTAAGGAAGGTTTGGACGGATCTTCTTCATCGTGCCTAGGAAAGAACGACCGGGTTGACGGAGGTGGAGTGAGCCTTCAGTTCGTTGGGCGGATGAGGCGGATGACGAGTGGTCAGGGGTACCATGATGCATGCGAAGACTTGTGCATGGAGGAGCTTGGAAGACTAGTGGCACTCTGCATTCGTTTGGACTTGAGCGAACATGAAGTTCTCTGACACATCAATTATCACACAGATTCACACAGTATCTCCTTTTTTTAAAAGAACTGTACAGTACATATCTATAATACACATAGAAAAACCGAGATTCTGTCCATTGTCCTGCTAGTCGATAGGAATGTCACAGTTGGACCAAAGAAAGGCCGGAGACCGTCCGGTTTCGCCAATCACCAACGTCGGAGCCTGGTTACCCACACTTCACACCAATTCCCCCGCCCGATGTCGGTTGAGGAACGGATTTGCCGGGTGATGAGGGCCTGCACTACGAACACGTGGTTTTCACCTGGGCCGAGAGCCACTTGACAGATGTAGATCGTTTTCGCTGCGGCGCAGATCGTAGTTTTCCTGAGGTAGCCTTCGGGAATATGCCATGCAGCCGGTGATACGAGTTGAGCAGATGCGTTTCTTTTTGCATTGCCTTTCCTACACGAAACCGGAGGAAGGCCGAAGGATCGAACCCGTGTGGCGTGACGAGTCGGGTTCGACCGGGTGAAAAAAGGATACACATCACTAGTAAAGGTGCATCGCTACTAGCAAGGACGCCACTAGCAGCTCCTGACATTGTTTGCTCACTTTTTGGAGCTCCCTTTCTCATCGAATTGAAAAGACACCGTTGGCGGGAGGACAGAAGCTGATCGAAAAGTGGGCCTTGGCTTTTGACCTAGGCCGTGTGCTCTATGGCCATGAGGTGAATTTCTATCTCTTCAATGATTTGAGGCACGCGCGGACAACATGTGCGGTTTGGGGGTGGCCTGCTTTGAAGACGGTGATGTTTTTGCTGAAAAGGGGTCACCTCTTTTTCATCAGGGGCCAGGTCCAGGTCGACCATCCAATCACCATTCTCGGAGAGTGGAATGTATAGGGAGACGGTAAGTGAGTTAAAGTTAGAAGAGATCAAATAAGAGGATTGATCAGAACTGGATACATTGCACCAAGCCAGTACCTGTGGCAAGTGGACACTTCCAAACAAGGGCAGGACAGTCTACTCTGTATACTCGCCCGCCATGCTTTCATGGTGTCACAGGTTCGACGACTGGATTGCGAGGAATCGAGGTGTTCTAAGAGAAGACCAACCAGAAAGGTTCCACAAAAAGCTGTTGTTTTAGAATATCACATCTCCAGATTGGTCTTCCAATCCAACTAGGGGTCAGAATGACCTTTCCGCCACAGCTCAAAGATGGGTTTGACGGCCAAAAGCTGTTGGGCCCACTGGTCTCCTTATTTCAATTCGTTTCCCAAAGGATCCCAAAGGCACCAGGTGCTGCCCTCTTGGGCCCGTTGGGCTCGCAGGTTCTGCATCGGGACCTTTATCCTGGTCAGCGCACTGGCCTCTCGCCAGCGTCGTTGAGGAGGAAGAGCGACGCGGACGGTTTCGATGCTTCCCACAAGCACGGCTCCAAAAGAAGGTATTTACAGCATACACACTACACATGCATGTACTATCATCTATTGGACATACAAACACAAACACACACACACACACATCTTTGGAACAAAATCATGGAACTTGCAAGAAGCATGATAGATCTCTTTGCTCGTTTTGGAGATCCTTTCTCAGGTTTGAGTTAGACTGAACTCGATTTCCTTGTACCAGCTTGTTTCGTGATCGTTTTGGACCGGAAGGCCTCCGATGCCCCGGTGAGACGGGGACTGACTCTGAAAGAACTTGACAGTCGAGGTGGATCGCAGGTCAGCTCGTAGATGTTTTTTTTTTTTTTTTAATTTTTTCGAAAGCAACGTGGTTCTCCATGAACGAAGGAGGACGCGCGAAATCCCGCGTTCATGAATTCTCTTTTCGTGGCGTTTTTGGTGCCGGCGTCCATCCGGTGGCCGGCAGACATCGGGGTCAATGCTGTGTCCGGAACGGCTGAGATCCTCTTGCGGCAGCAGAGTCTGGTGACCACCTTCTGTGGAATCCTGGGGGTTCCTTTGGCCGCACTGTACTGATGCCGTGTGTACTAAGACAGTAGTGAGTAGGAGTAAGAGTAGGAGTAGCAGTAGCAGTATCAACAATAGCCGTGTGCGTGGCCGTGGCCGTGGAGGCAGCAAGTGCTTCCCATGAGCGATTCTGAGGTGCCCTTGGCCTTCTCTGCCACTTACTACTTCCACTACGTCGTCATGGGCTATCAGAGGCCATGTCATGTGCCAATCAGAGCGTGGCTGCGCGGCAGTTCTCGCGAAACAACGGCGGACAGCGGTGGGTTCAAGGTACTTCGTCAGGTGGTTTTGCCATGTTTGGCACCCAAGAAAGAACTCTTTTGTTGAGGTGCTTCTTCCAGCAGGTCGGTGGTCATCCTTCTCTTCTCTTCCAAGGTGTTTTGATGGATCGAGGCTCCTCCGTTTTGGGTGCTGTTGAGTCAGGGCCTTGTTTTGGGGAGGAACCTCCATTTGCAAGCGACTCTGATATGAACATACGGTTAGACCGATGAGACCGATGAGGGCCCGGCCTGGTGGTTTTTCACGCGCAAACGGTCCGAATCTCTTCGAGACGACATGGGCGATCCGTGATGCTTGCAATGGGGAAAGCTGTTCCAGTGAATGGGTTTTTGATCAATGTCATGAATTCCATGGGTCCTTGAAGCATTGGACTCCTGGGGTGAAGACCATAGAAGCGAAGCTTGAACTACATCCTTCCTTTGGGGCGTGCCCTTGAAGGGGTCTACCACCCTCCGCAACCCATCTACTCTTAAATGGGAAACCAGATGTCCGTCCAACGGTTTGTTCTTGGTCAATTCGGGAACCCGTCCAACGCGAAGCCGCCACGCGAAGCGCCACTTGCCAGGATGAGCGTCATGGATTTCGTCTCCATCTTTCTGATCGTTGGCACCTCGACATTTGGCTCCGGTGGCGCTCACGGAGACCTCGGGGCGCTCCGGGGCGGTGGACATGACAGACATGATATGCATGGCTTGTGAGGTCGGGGCGTGGGTCGGGTTGGGATGTGGAGCCTGTGTGGGTGAAGCGACGGCGAATCGATGAAGAAAAGGGACACCTTGCGACAGAGAGCAGATTGGATCTTTCCCCGTGTGACGGAAGATGAATCAGCAAGAGAAAGGTTCATCACCAGTTTTAAGCAGTTGGACCATCGACCATCCTCCCCGGCTGATCGCACACACACACACACACGGAAAAGCGTTCAGGGCGAACCTGGCTCGATCCTGGATCTCCCAGCCTGCTGCATACGATACGCTGAGGCATTGCAGCAGATGACATCTTGCTGCTTTACAACACCTACCAGCTAGCCTCTGCCGTGGTGCAGCTGAAGGGGAAGACCAACCAGCCGGCTGCTCGGATGAGGCGCGGATGCCAAAGACGGTCGTTTTGCATGGGGCTTGTCTTCACACTGGTTACCATTGGTTGGCTCAGGCTGGTCTTCGCACTCGACAGGCTTCGCCAGACACGATAAAACGAGAATTCGTGTGACACGACTGTGCCAAGCCCCGACACTTCACCTCGGCAACCGCTCAGAGCGCATCTGCTCCCTCATAGCCTCAAATCCCCCAACCATTAGATTCTGTCTTGGCAGTTTTCAAGCGCTGCTAGCTGCAGCACTCATCACTGATGCGTGCCACAACCAGCGCTGCGGTGCTCGATGATGCCACTTGCGAAGCTGTGCTGCGGAAGTTCATCACAGAGGATCTGCACAAATGTCACGCCTGACTGGTTTTCATGACTTTGTGGCAGTAAGGTCTTTGAAACAGAATGTTTTTTTTTTTTACATGTTGCAACCATTCCAGCTTCGATGCAGAAATGGTCGCAATGCGGTTTGAGGACGACGGATCCTGGTGAGGATGATGATGCACCCCCAAACCATCGCACCTCTGAATTGAACTCTCCTCCGCACCGCACCACCAGCATCACCCGGTGCCGTTGTTCGACCACTTCACTCGGCTGGGCGAAACGCGGAGAGGTGGGCTTACAGGGAGGCCGCCTCGGCCATGCTGGTGACCAGCGTGACGACCTGTGTGGCCTCTCCGCAGCTGGAGCGATCGATCGGATATGGCTGGAGCTCGGGCGTGGTGTGGTGTGTGTTTTGTGCGGCGGGATCCCAAAAAAGAACGTGCAGATTTCATGGGATTTCACAGATTTCATATGATTTCAGGATCTCCCAAGTTTTTGAGATCACATTCCCTCGAGGAGTAGAGTCAGGTATGTTGCTATACAAGTCATGTATATATAATTATATATATATATACACATTGAGTCTGTCAATCATGTTCATCACTGCTTCGTACAGGTGATTCGATCCTACTCTTTCAAATTTCCTGGTCCTCTTTCCATGCAAGTGGAGACCTCTTTCGATCCTCCTCTCGATGTTCCGCCAGGTCTCCTTCTACGCGAACATGCTCTCGATTGTGAGCGTCGTGAGGCCAGTCACATAGCGACGGGTGAGGGATCAACGGAGATGAAAAAGGCACCTCCGGTCCTGCCAAAACGTTGGTTCTGAGGCCATGTTCCGAACCCATGAGGCCATTTTCATCAGAGAATCGGAGGATGGGTTTTGAGTGGCATGTTCCGAACAAGAGACTGTGGAGGAAAAGTCAAGACCATACTGCTACTGATGCTTCCCAAACAAAACGTGAAAAAACTGACCAGCAACGGAAGCACAGCAACTGCTACTCATCCTGTGGGAAGAATCCGTGAGGCAGTTCGGATTCTTCATGGGCACCTTGGTCTTGTGGAACTTCCTGAACGTCCTCACCATCTTCCCCGCGAGCTTGCTAGTGAACGAGATGTATCTCGCTCCACTCTGGTGCCCCGGCGGGGTTCTGAGTACGAACCCCACCCCACCCACCCCAGAGGTGAGTGAAACTGACAAAGCCTGTGGGTTCGTTGCCAACAAGCCCTTTCGCTTGGCGACCACTTGCTGAATTCACCAGTGATGTTTCGAAGGGGTCGACCAACCGGACCGAATTTCGTGGTGGATCTCGTGGATCCGAACGAAAAGAACGCCTGAAGAGTGTGGTCTTTGACTACCCCTTCGGCATGGGAGGAGGCGGTAGGGAGGAGGGTAGAGGGTGCTCGTTTTGGCGCCCTCCACGGCTCGGGTGAAGGTCCGTTGACGGAGGCCCTTCAGGTCTTCCAGTTTGCGGCAGCTTCCACACTCCGAAGACTTCGGAAGTGGGGTGTCCACCGTGTTTGTAGAGGAAAATGATCCTTCCCAAAGGCATCCAAAGGCTATGCCATCTACTTCCGTGGAACGTGAGTCGGAGAGTACATCTGACCAACTTGTGTCTGAATGGATGGAGTGAATGTCGGAGAGAACATGCAGAGACTTGACCGGGTTCCCGATTGGGTTGTAGGTTTTGGACGTTTGCCAAGGAGACAGCAGAAGGGCGGCTTGGAGTGTGACCCGTTAGAAGAGGAGGGTCAAACCCCAATTCAGGGATATATTCATAGGGGCCTGGGTTTATATTGCAGACCCTGTGACCCATGATCCTGTCATGTCATACTGATGCGACTGATGCGAGTTTTCCAGATGAGGTCTGTCCGGATGGTCTGTCTGTCCTTGATGACAGTTTCTGGGAGTGTGCTGGGGTTGTTACTTCGTCGGCCATAGCCATGGCAAACAACACTTTTTCTGGTGTAGTTTCCATGTTTTTTCTTCAATACCAGCTAGCAGCCACTGTAGCCTTTCAGTGGGAGAGCCATTGCTGAACACCACCAGGCTGCCATCTTCCACGGTATGGACGATTCATTGGGGCACCAGAATTGAGATGATACCATTCCGGCATGGTCCGCACCATGCTTGTCAAAGCTTAGTCCGGGATGACCACGCGTGGAGGACACCTGAGCCGAATCCTGGCAGAATCCAACCATCCTGGCAACCCCTGGAGATGGTCCGATGCTGAGGTGCTGCTGTCGTGCGACCAAAGGCACGGTGGTGGGACGGAGTGAGCGCAGTCCGCGGCCGGACCGGGGCCCCAACTGTAGACCCCAACACATGGAACATAGAAAGCACTGAGACCGAGACCCTGTGTGGCAGTATCCTTATTTTGAGTTCATGTGACCACATGTCACCCTGATACCCTGAAGTCATGAGTTTTGAGTGGACTCGGGGCCCCAGCTATGTGCTTTTTGTCGTGTATTACAATGGAATTGTAAGAAGTAACACAAGCAGAACAGCGAATGCCTGAGCTGTTCTGGTTCGAGCCAATTCGAGAGCACGAGCAGCTCTCAGCTGGGTCGGTGAGGCCCGATCCGACCTGGCCGGTTTCTCGACGCCATGGATGCGTTGCAGAGTCAGCCCCTCGTTGCTTGGACCATTCGTGAGTTCAAGCTGTTGACCTCCGGTGTGTCCGTGGATGCCCTGCGGCGGGCGCTCGTAGCGCTCATCGCTTGGACGACCAGCTGCCTCTGTTTGTTCCGGTCGCAGCCGGAGGAGGTTCGGCAGGAGCTTCGGGTCTTCGAGGACACCGTCTGTGCCGTTCAGGAGGAGGTGGTGTCCCTGCTTGGCAGATCCTACACCAGCCCCCATGCGCTGGCCCACTGGCGCAACCAGGACGCTGTCATCGTGCCTACACAACAACAACATGTCGTTCGTGGCGTGATGGACTCGCTGGACGGCAAGCACCTGACCTTGGCCGGGTTCTGGGCTGATTTGTCCGCCACGGACGGCTTGCACATGGAGGAGTTGGTTGAGGCCGTGTCTGCATCCAGCAGCCTCTATGCCGGACAGGAGGGCATGGTCCTGGTGGCCCACTTGAGCGGCCTTTTCGTCAAGTCTGTGGCGGAGGTATACCGCCGGCAATTTCAACACGCCCGTGGACCGACGAGCTCCGATGAGGAGTGGGATGTGATGATCTGCGGACCGCAGACCCCTCGTGGCCCGCAGGGCCCCTCAGCGAGTTCCTAGTGTTTCACCCGCTCGTTCGCCTTTTTGAAAATTTCGTTGTTGCTCGTTTTCCGTGGTCGGTCGAGTTGATGGGTTTTTTGGTAGCATGGCCTCCTCTCTTTAAGTTGCAGACCCTGAGGCCTCCACCTTCGCACGCTGTTGAAGTTGCTCAGCTGTGCGTTCCGTCGGTCGATCGATGAACTTTTCAGTCCGTTTGCCCATCGCATGTTGAGTTCACCTGTGATTTTTTTCGTATGATTGGGCCCTAGCGAGTGACCATGACTGGCACTGACAGCGGCCCCCCCCGGCCTGTGGGGCGCATTGCGGTCTACCGGCCTGCAGCCTCTTGCACCTCAACTTGCCTGTCATGGCGTGCGCTCGCTGACGGACATTGCGAGCCGCTTCAATGAGTTGGTTGCGGCCGGCTTTTTGCCAGGTCAACTTCAGCGGCTGTGCGAACAGCCTATGGGCTCTAGCCTGGACTCCGCAGCCGCCCCCCGACGAGACTTCCCAGCAGTGCGCGACGGGGCTCACGCCTCCCTACAGTTAGCCCTAGCCGCGGCATTGCCCGACCGGCAGGCCGACAGTTTGAGGGCCTTGTCTGATGACTTGTTGGCCCCATCTACACGACCATCAGTGGAGAGTAGACTCCGGACCTGGCAGGCCATTTGTGAGGCTTGGGGACAGCCCTCCTTCCCGCTGACCATCGACAACGTGAGGCGGGCTTCTGCTTCCTTCAAAGCCGGTCGCTACCGATCAGCCAAACAGTACTTTGCCATCGTCAGCACCTATCAACAGCGGGAGCTGGGACTTCCTGTCGATCCGATGGTTCGCCAAGCCATGAAGGACCATATTCGAAGCATTGAAAGGGGCCTGGGGCCCAGTCAACTGAAAGAAGCCTTTATGATGCCAATGATTGGGCCGTTGGTCCAGCTTCATGACCGGGATCCCTTCGCAGCAACCACCGTGGCTCATGCAGTCGATGTCATCATTCTGGGGGTATGGTGGATGCTCCGGGAGGTCGAGTTGGCCGCGGCCCGCGCACAGCATTTGCAGGTCTACAACAACACGGTCACCCTGACGCTCCCCTTCAGCAAGACGGACAGCGGGGGACACATGGTCTCTCGATCCTTGGAGTGCGCATGCTCAGATGCAGTTCATGCCTTCTGCCCTTTTCATGCGGCCATACGACACCGCACCCGCCTTGCCAGGCGTTTTGGCCGGGAGCCCACAACGGAACCTCTACTCCCCGACTCCGATGGCGAGGTCTTTGACAAAGCCGGCACGATCGAGGTCATCAGATCCGTACTGACGGCAGCCGGTATCCAGTTGACCCGGACGACTGAGGACGGCCGAGAGGTCCAGCGGTTTCATGGACATGTTTTGAGAGTGACGGGTGCCCAATTCTGCACCGCTGCCGGAGTTTCTCCAGAGCTCATCCAGACACATGGTCGCTGGAAATCCTTGGCCGTTCGCAGGTACACACAGGATGCCTCTTTAGCCACAACCCCCTCGATGGCATCTCGGGTTCTCGGCGGAGTGCAGCCGGCTACTCCGTCATTTTCCCCAGCGACGCCGGTACCGGCGAGGGATGGGTTGACACCGTCCGGAAATGGGGACGCCAGCAGGAGCGCCCCCGCGGCCAAGAGGAGCCGCTGCGCTGATCGCCCACGACCCGGGCCAGCGGTTCAAGACCTCCGCGAAGAGGTCCAAACACTGGCAGCATCCCTGCAGCAGCTGAAGACCGCCGTCCTTCGACCTGAGAGTGACCCCCTCGTGGTGTGGAACCGGAGCAAGATCGCCCACAAGATCGGCGTCAATGAACAGACCAATGTACCCACCTCCTGGAGGACCACATGCGGGCGACCATATGGCCTCGGTTTATTTCATAGGATCCCAGCCCTTGAGGGGGACTTCGTGCCTTGTAAAAAGTGCTTTCAACTCTCCTCCGATCCTGATTCGGTCTCAGAGGAGAGCTCTTCGTTGGGGGATGACTCCTCTGACGAAGACGACAGTGCCTGACGGGGCGGCGCCGAGCGAAACGGCTGCGCTCTCGGTGGGAGGTTCCCCCCCTGGTTTGGGTCGGTTTTGGTCTGGGGTCTCCGCTGACTTCTTGGTGTTTTCGCCTTCTTTGGGTCGTCCACCTCGGGATGGGGCTTTTCGGCCGGGACGGATCGTCGTCGCCTCGCGAGTCGAGTGTTGTGCAGGTTCAGGCAAACAGGGCATGACCTTGTGTGACTCTTCTTTCGGTTCGTCACCCGCTCGATCGTCCGACCGTTCGGCAGTGCACGAATCACACGTTGATTGATCCTCCGTCCGTGAGTTGGACGGCTCAATAGCAGCCATGATGGCCGCTGGGCTTCCTCCATTACGTGATATCCTTGACCATGCCGGTGCCGACACGGTGGTCATCGATTACATCCAGGCGCGCGGCATCACATCCCTCGGGACCTTCGCCAAGGTGGCGTCCTCCGTGGACAATCTGAGGGCGACCCTGATTCAGCCACTGTTGGATGGCTTCAAGAAAGGTGGTGCTCACCTGGTGGTCGATGATGTCGACAAACCGATCATTGAAGCAGTGATCATCACAGCCTGGGAAGAGGCCCAGGCGCTCTGGGCACAGCATGTGCGCCCATCAGCGTCAGCCTCGACCGCCGCGCCAGGCAGTCCGGCCCCGGCCACGGCGACGACGACTCTCAGTGATGACAAGCCGCCCAAACAGCTGCCCACTGGGGTCTGGAACACCGCCATTCGCAAGTACAACGACCTCGAGATCCAAGGGATCCATCGGAAATTTCCGGAGAAGGAGTTGCTTGGGGCCGAAGTGACGCTGGCCCGAATGCACCATGAGCACACCCGGAGCAAGATGTACACACCGGTCGGTCTCGGGGAACTCATGACCCACCGAAGCTTCACCTCCACGGGGGAGCCCAATCCATTGGTGAAATCCAAACAGGAGGCCAAGACCACCCTGACAGTGGAAGGCGATAAGTTGGTGCAGGAGGCCGACAAGGTATGGCAACCGAAATCGGTCCTGGCAGTGATCGACGCCATCAACAGCATTCGCTGGGCTTGGATCTTGCTTGACTATGGCCCTGAACTGGTGATCCATGAGTTTTGTGACTGGTTGTCATGTCGAGCACGTCTGCGCCCTCAAAGTTGGAGCAGTTCAAGGTCTATTACGATCAGATCTCTTGGAAGCTAGCCACCTTAATGCGGAGCCACCAGACCTTCACAGAGGCGACCGCCGAGATTCGGGCCGATCTCGAGACCTACCAGGAGGCAATGGCCAAGGAGATTGTCACCAGCAATCGACCCGCCGCCAAACGCAAGCTGGACAGCGACAACCAGGCCGAGGGACCGACCATCAAGTTCCAGAAGGGCATGAGCAAGGGCAAGCAACAGGCACGCCCACCGTGGCGATCAGGTGCGGCATCATCATCCTCCTGGGACTCCTCCAATCGATCCAGCTGGTCCAGTCAGTGGTCCAGTCAGTGGAGCACCCCACGCGGCCAGGGTCGCGACTGGGGCAAGTCAGACCACAAATAGGGCACAGGGAACCCCCCTGCTGGCACGCAGGGGGGCGATCCCGCTGCGCCCGAAGTGCCATTAACCCCGGACCTCCGATGCAACATCGTTCTGAGCTTTTTCGATGGCATTGGTTCTGGGCCCTTTGTTCTACAAGAGCTCCTACCGACCACACCATTGGTCCTGGCCTGGGAAACTGATCAAGTTTGCAAGGACATCGCTAGCCACCACATGCCGCACATCCAACACCGGGGCGATTTCCGAGAAGACAGCCCAGAGGATGTCGCCGCCGCCCTACGGCAGCATGCGGGCAACGTTGCTCCTCAGGTTTGGGTCCTGGCCGGTCCACCGTGTCCAGATTTCAGCCGCATCAAATCCGCAGCACCCGGAATAGAAGGGTCAGAAGGCGTCAAAATGGACGAGTTTTGCACCTTTTTGGACAACCTGGAGGGCACCCTCAAAGATTGGCCACCACCGATTATCCTCGTCGAGAACGTCGTGATGACCAACAAGCAGGAGATCCAACATTTCTCCCATCGGCTTCGCTGCAACCCCATTCTGGTCGACGCAGCTGATTTCGGGATGATAGGAAGACCAAGACTCTGGTGGACCAGGCACCAGTGGTCGTCCAAAGACACCTATCCCGGCACCAATCGCCCCCTCAGGTGGAGCCAGACTCATGGCCTGCATCGCCTGCAGGCGTCCCTCACCTGGGATGACCCGAAAGCAATGGAGCTTCACGACCTCTTCTTCCATGAGCAAGTCCGCCAACACCAGGTGAGGATCCCATGTCTCACCACCCCGGCACCAACCTCCCATGGCAGACCAGCACCCAGGAGCGCTCGAGGGAAAACCTCCGACGAGGCCCGCGAACGGTGGATTGGCGACCAGCGGAGGTTTGCACCATGGAACTACGAAGACACTGCGATGATGCAAGGCGCAGATCGCCGCTTCTACGTGGTCCCTCCCAAAGTGAAGGAGAGGTTGCATCACTTTCCTGACAACTACACCAAACACAAGTCGGCCAGCACCCAAGACAGGCATCGCGTCTTGGGCAACAGTTGGCACTTGGGGGTGGCCAGACTCCTCTTAACCCTCATCTTCACCAGCATTACCGCGACCACAGCGACACAGCCCAACCGATCCCCTCACCAGACCATCCTGGACCAGATGATACAATGGGCCAATGTCCAACGGATCTTCATGGGACCCGGCCCGCGGCCCGTCCAAGCACCCCTGGTGACACCTTGCCACTCTATGGAAGAACACTTCCGACTGTCGTCGTCGGTCCTGCACCCAGCAGCCCAGCCCCCGGAACCCGAGCCTTCCCTACAAGACACCGCACGGAGGTTGCTCCGGTGTCTCGACCACATTGACCAGATCCGGCAAGCGGTCCTCCAAGATCTTCAGCAGCTCAAAGATGATTGGGCACCTGACACTGAGCAGTGGCTGGCCGATGCCCCCCCCTCATATACGACAGGTCTACACCTCCAATGGGAGCCACCCAACAACTCAGGTGCCTTTGATCTGCCATTTGCTCCGGCAGCTACACTACCCCGAGGTGGATGAATTGAGCGACGAACTTCACGGAGGTTTCCGTCTTCTGGGCGATCTACCCACTGGAGCCGGTTGGTCACATCGACACGACCTCAGGTATAGCTGCCCAACCTCCGTGGACGAATTCCTCCAAGAGAACCAGGAGTACATCTACAGGAAGCTCCTGGACCACAAGGTAGATCAACATTGGGACACCATGCTGGATGAGCTACTCAAAGAACGTGACCAGGGCAAGATTTTGGGACCGTTTGCGTCCTTTACGGACTGGCCCAAGCAGTGCGCTGGCGTCCCCGACCGCACTGATGTGACCTTGCTGCCCAACAGCTGGACGCATTGTCCTACGGCAGTGTGTTTCTCGGTAGTTCAGTCTGACAAGATCCGACGATGCGAAGATTATCGTCGCGGACATCACAATAGCACCATCGGGGCCACCGACATCCCCCACCACCACGACATCGGGGCTTATGTCAGCATGGCATCCTGGTTCCAGGCCCAGTCACACCCAGCCCATATTTGGGCCCACGACTTGAAATCTGCCTACAGGCAGTTTCCCATCCAAGAGCCATGGCACGGCTTCACCCTTCTCTTCACACCGCACGGCCCCACCTTGTGGCAGCATCAGGCTCTCATGTTCGGGGCCACCGCATCGGTTTGGGGATTCAACAGGGCAGCAGACGCAGCGACATACCTCACCAGACAATTACTCCTCACATGCACCATGCACTATGTGGACGACTTTGGTGGGGTAGAACCGGCTCGGTGTAGCACCTCCGGTTTCCAAGCCTTTACACAATTCACCGAAATCTTGGGCCTGCACATGAAGCCGAACAAGGCACAACCGCCAGACACCAAACAGGAGCTCCTGGGGGTCGAGATCGAAGTGGGCACCGACGAGATCGTCCTACGACCGACAGCGACCAGGCGGGCTAAACTACGTGAAGAAATCCATCGATTACAGGCCCAGGGCACGATTTCGCCCGCGGAGGCCAGCAGACTTGCTGGCCGCATGACCTTCCTGAACTCCACTGTTTTCGGCAAGGTGGGGGCGGCCGCCCTTCGGCCTCTATATGTTCGGGCCAAGGCAATGGGGGGACGCCCCAAAGGAGACCAATATGCCATCACACCGCCACTGGCAGCTGCCCTGAGAACCATGATCCACATCATCAGCATGGCAGAACCACAGCGATTCCCTTTGACACCTGCACAGCCCTGCTCGGCCACACTCTATGCCGACGCCTTTTACAAGCAAGGTGAGTACAAGATGACAGCCGATGAGGCTTGGGAACTGAGACACGGCGGTCTCTCCAACGGCTGGGGCTTTGTGGCGCGCTTGGGGGACGACATCTTTTATGCTCATGGCTCCCTCCCACAACAACTTCTGCTGAGGGTCACCACTCGGCAGGCTTTCATCTACTTTTTGGAGATCTACGCTCAGGTGGTCATGACAGCCTGCCTCTCGGAGCTGCTGCCACACCAATGGATCAGCTTCATCGACAACCAAGCGGGACATGCAGCCTTGCTTAAAGGTTGGGGCTCCGACGAACGGGTGAACCTGCTGCTCGAGTGTTTTTGGAAAATGGCCGCCAAGCTCCAGTGGCAGCCACATTTCGAGTGAGTGCCCAGCCATAACAACATCTCTGACCCGATTTCCAGGGGTGATTTTTCTTTGGCAAATCTCCATCAGTGGACCCTCATCGATGTTGAGGACAAACCACTGCACAAGCTTTTGAGTAGCAGCCAGACGACTTTGGAACAGGCTCACCTAGAGGGTGATCGAATCTTGTCCCAATTAGCCTCAACCCGGTGCTGTGTGGTGAACTCCCCGGGTGGTCTCCACAGGAGTTCATCACCAGTGAGGCCTGGGAGGAAATGATCCAACCCTCAGACCTATAGAGGAGGAAAAAGTCGAGAGCTTGGTGCTGCAGAACAGTTCGGTTCGAGACGAGTGTCGACTGTTCGATTCATGATTTGTGTCGATAGTCGCTATCTAACAAGTTAGGTAACGCCACTTGATTGCATGTTGCTGGAAGCGGTGTTGTGTATTACAATGGAATTGTAAGAAGTAACACAAGCAGAACAGCGAATGCCTGAGCTGTTCTGGTTCGAGCCAATTCGAGCCCTCCACTCCACACCCCTTCGTAGATCGACTTGGAGCGCCGTCGCTGCCGCTTTGTCTACTACCACCACTGAGATGAGCCTCATGATCACAGTCTTCTGAGGTAGCATTCAGTTTTCCTTTCTTTGCTTGTACCGGATTAATCCGGTGGTTCGTACAGGTTGTGTCACTTCCTGTACATTGTGTCTCTTTATACGAATTCACGATCAGGTCACTTACATCCTAGCCCTGGGATGGTCTCC